TGTGTGTGTGTGTGTGTGTGTGTGTGTGTGTGTGTGTGTGTGTGTGTGTGTGTACGTGTACGTGCGTGCGTGCGTGCATGCGTGTGCGTGTGTAGAGTGTGTGTGTGTGCCCGTGTGTGTGTGCGCGCGTGCGTGTCTGTGTGCGCATGTTTATTTACAGCTATACCAAGTATATAATTACAACCTCAGCATATATTGCGTCAGGAATGACGACTTTGTTCATTTTGGCAGCCGTCTCTATGATGTCTATCACTTCTTCCTTCCTCTTATGCACGAGGAGCCATCTGGCGGATTCGTCTAGGAACCTATAAAATCAAGCTGCAAATGGTAGTTTTCCCGTTTGCCACAAACTACGATGACGTCATCGTCGTTAACACGCGTGCAGCAATCGCATCGTCTATTTGACAATTAACGAATGTCTGCATCTTACGCGCGTGTTCTTGTAGCATCTACATATATTACATTTGTTCACATCTCCCGTTACACTCGAATCGCATATGGTGTTTTTACTCTAGTGTAGTCCACATTGATAGATCTCCTCATGTATATGATATGTGCGTGCGTGCGTGAATGCGCGTGTGTTTGCAGTGTGAGAGTGCGCGCGCGTGCGTGTATTTATGCGACAATGCTCGCGCGTGTGCATGTGTTTGTGTGGTAGTGTGCGCGTACGTGTATATCTGCGAGGGAGTGCGCGTGCGCGCGCGTGTCCATGCATGTGTCTTGGATACCGTGGGCGCGTGCGTCTGTGCGTGCTTGCAAACGTGCATGTGCACCTGTGTACGCGCACGGTATAGGTGGCGGTGTGTTCACCACGATATTCGCTCAATAGTTTTGATCGCTATAGAATCGATAGAATCGATCGCTATAGAATCGATAGAATCGATCGCTGTAGAATCGATAGAATCGATCGCTATAGAATCGATAGAATCGATCGCTCCCTTTGACGGTTTAGGGACGAGTCAGTTTCTTACCTCGTGGCGATCAAGCAGGGGACTAAAGGTAGGGAGATGGCGACTTGGAAGGCTCTCCACTGCGTGAGGAAGTAACCAGTGATGCTGAGTAGAGCGATAGCCAACGTGAATGGCAGCGACATGCTCATGCCGACTACGTTCCTCTTGCTCGGTCCAATGAACTCCATCGCTGTCAAAAGAGCGGGGGAGGAGTGCGTGAATTCGCGTGAATTACTCGTCCCGTTTGATTGCTTGTCTGTGTGTTCGTTTCTCCGGCTGTGCGTATGTGTGCAGTACGCGTGCGTGCGTGTGTTCGTTTATCTATTCTTTTGTGCACGCGTTCATCTCGTGGTTCAACTCAAAATGTTGTATCGATTTCATACATTGTGCCCTCTCCTGGGCTTTACTTTATTGGGTCGTCACTCATAATTCAGTACCTATTAAGTATTACGTCGGCGAAACATTAAGCGCGCGTCTGCGTGCATGCGTGTGTTAACATCAACATACACAATGTGTAGGCGACAACGTAGATTCCAGCGCACGTAGCACCGAGAAGGAATCGTAACGTTATGTACATGGTGTAGCTGGCCGATAACGCGACCAGAGCGCTCATCGCAATATTCGCCATGCACGAGACAATGATCACCTTCTTTCTACCGAATCTGAAAGAGTAGAAAAAGAAGACGATTTTAAAGGAGAAACATTCGTGAAGTAGTCATTAACTGTAAGATTCGCCTCGCTTATTTTCCTGCCTAATACCTAGACTGTTGTGGTGATGTCGCGTATTAAGAGACCCGAGTTATTTTCCTCTCATACCGTCTCTCTATTGTTCTCTTTCTCTTGCTGTCTTTCTCTTTCTCTCGCTCTCACTTTCCAATGTCTTTGGCTCTACATTAGTCTCGCTCTCTCTCTCTCTCGTCCTCTTTCACCATCTCTCCTGCTCTTACGCTTAGGCTCTCTCGGACGCCCACTCTCTCTCTCACACACACACACACACACACACACACACACACACACACACACACACACACACACGCACACACACACTCAGACACTTTCTTTCGCCCCTCCTCTCCCCGTCTCATGCCCCTTCTCTCTTTCTCTTACGCGTTGCCCCATCGTCTCCTTTACCTACCGGTCTACCTATGTACAAAACACGACCGCCACACTACTGCATACGCGCACATACGCCATAGTCGTACATGTGAATATCGTAACAATGTAGAGTAAGACTGCATGCACAGAACTAAAGGAATGTATACTTGTCTGATATCATGCCCATAACGATGCAACCGGCCATGACGCCGGCCATGAAGACAGATCTGATGAGAGCTCTCATGTAGGTACGGCTGCATACCGTCGACCACTGGTAACGACACAGCAACGACAAAGCATCAACGTAAAGTCATGTAACGACACAGCATCAACGTCACGTAATGACACAGTGACATGTGTAAAAAAGATATGTATATATATATAATATTATACACATACATACACTACATATTACAGCATATATATATATATATATATATATATATATGTATA